TCTTTTAAACTTTTCTGGGCGTTTGCAATCTCTGGGGAAAAAAAGGTTTTTAATTTGAGCAAAAACAGATCCACCTTTTAGGAGACTGGTTAAGGCCGGGTCAGTACATTATCGATACTGGGATTTGGGTGGAAGTCAGACTACCCCGCCAGAACTGAATTATTGTCTGGCCAGAAGTGATTCTAAATTTGTAAAGTAGTAACAGCAATTTAGAAAAGCAATCTTTTTTTCGGGATGAAATTCGAAAAAAAGCACGGGGAATTCAACTTTAAAAGTGAACTACAACCGTTTTTGTATTTCTGTTTAATTGAAGTAATTCATGTCTGTCATGCCAGTGCCTTCATGATTTTTTTTATTCGTTAGTTCTTGTCTCTCATATCCGTCTGTTTTTGTCAAGCTTAGGCATTCTCTACTCAATACTCATCGCATTAGGTTAATTTAGTCTTCACTTCAATACTTTCGCTTTAGCTCTTTAGTAGGCATGTATCAATCAATAGTAATTCACACTTAATTAACTAATCACTGTATGCAGTCTCAATCAGCAAGCTGTGAACTGCGCGTAGACACTGAATTTAATATAAATAGCGCTGCAGCTATAAGCTGCTGCTGTTGCTAGTCGCATCTTCCGTAGATCATGATTGTTAAATCATTTGCATAATTTGCCCACTACAATAATCTGCTGTCAGTTCTGATGGCACGGCTGATTAAGACTCCGGCTTCCAGATTTGGCCATCGTCCTGATCAATTTTGTGTTGGTGTCGTCTTTGTTCCGTGCCACACAGCGTGTTGGTCTTTATTTAATCAAATCGCAATCAGTGCGGTGCATGTTTGTGATCAGGACGCCGAGAATGCATTGAAGCAGATTGCTTTAAGTCAAGGCCCCTTGTGTACATACAATGTACATGCTTGTAACAGAGCGACGAGAAAATAGTTGTCGGCAATTTATGCTTTATAACAATACCATGCACATCTTCAATCACAATTTAATCTATGGTTGTTCAAATGAATTTGTTTCCCCTTTTCTTCTTGGAACTTCTACTTACACGACAATGTCTAGTTTTGGAACTTCTACCGGTACTTACACGACAATGTCTATTTTGGCTTTTACAATGAAATTTTTTGTCGCTGGCAAAGAAAATCAAGAATTCCAAATGAATGTTTTTATGGTAAATGCTAGGATAACAAGAAGCACTTTTTCCTTGATGAATTAAAAATGGTACTCATAAAAAAAATCACAAATGAATTTTTCTGAGGAAAGACATTCACACTAAAGTAACATCACAAGGTTTTGAAAGTGCTTGGAAATCTGCAAGCGTCTTATAACATTAAACATTTTGATATTATCTAGGAGTAGAACGTCCCCCAAAATGTGATAAAATTGGAATCCTTAATCTCAAATTCAGCTGTAAAAAAAATTAAAAAAAAAAAATTAAAAAATGGAGTCTCATTTTAAATTACACCATGAACAGGAATAATACTGAATGGGAATAAAAGCGTTGTGGAGCAGTACATGCATTAAATGTCTGGTTAAAAATCTTATAGGGGCCTGGCAACTGGTAATGACCCTCCCCCTCGGCTTGGGGGCCATTATCGGCGAATACATTGCAGGCCTCTACAAGACGTTTAAAACTGCTCCACCACTTTATTACTCCCTTATTGAAGGCACTTTATTGATTGCATTTTACAATATATGCAGTCCGTGCAGCTATCCGTTCATGTGGTTTTATATACAGTTGTCAAGGAAGCGCACGTTCGAAGTCAAGACAAAAATCAATGAAAAAGTCTCACTTGCACACATTTTTTTTTCTGCTTTTATTTTTGTAATTTGTTTTTCTGAAATTGTATACGCATTGTGTAAGATAAGAGAAAAATTTACACATATAGTCATGGGCATTTTTTTTTTTTAATATTTTGAATAAGAAACAAGTTATTTACCTTAGGATACGGTATGTTTTCAATCATATTCACTTTAAAGGGGCATTACGGCCTGGAATGTGCCCAATTGGGCTAAAAAAAACACCACATTTTTAATAAAATTTAATTAATTGGAAAGAGCATTAAACGCCCACACAATCATCCTTTAAAACTGGGCATTTTTGTGTTATTCTTGTGAAAATCATGCAAAAACGATTTTCGGGGGCCAAAATTTAGCCTCTTAAAAATGGAGCTGTTGAGTGCTAGTTGTGAATCCTGCCGCACAGTGGTTCACATTCTGCGGACGTGTAAGAAACAACATTTGTGTATTGGTGCTGTGTGTATTATGTGATACACACACACACCGTGTATGGTGCATTGAACAGACACAGCTTATACTACATGCGTATGCCATAAAATGTTCGCTGCGTCCAATTTGTTCGTCTTTTCTCAGGAACGGTGAGACATTAGTTTCCTTTTCAACCAAACCTTTGAAACAGGATCAGTAAACAATCCAAAACATGAAAGTTTCGGGGATTTGAGGCCGTAATTCCCCTTTTAACTCCAGAGCTTTTTCATTTTACTGCACACGTGCCACTATAGTGCACATCCACTCACACTTCCCGCCAATTTTATTCAAGATCTCAGAAACTCGACTGAAACGTTCCATCATTGCCCAGGGCACACAGATACATTAGGACTGTCACTTCTGTGGGATGTTGCAATTCCTCAGAACTAGGAAAGATCCCGGAGAGATCCGTGCAAGTAGTCACGCGTTGCAAATTGCGGGACTGTGGATGATGAAGTCTGGCGCATGGAAGAATCCTCCCCAACTCCAATCCTACAAAAATCTGTCAGATTTGAAAGATTTTGTGGGATTTGGGAATGGAACATGAACATGTAGAGCCTAGCCACTACTAATTTACGTTGGGTTTAATGGCCCATGAAAGTTCAGTATGAAATATGGTATCCAGCGAAGTGACTAATGTACAAGGATCAAGACTCAGAAAAGGTTCGTTGCTAAAACCCAAGGGATTTAAGGTGAATTACATGTTCCGGTACTTCTCGCAAAAAAAAAATCAAATTTGATTCATTCATTATACTAAAACAGGAAAGATCTATCCTTTCACATCCTGGGGGAAAAAAGCTTGATTTAGGCATAGGAGTACTAGCCAAGGAATGCATTAGGTACGTGTACCTTTTACTACGAGAATGGGCCTATTCCTTTGATGTCCATTACATGTACCAGGCCGCGATCGTAGCTTACCCGACAAAAAGAGAAATTGAATTATGCAGATTTCCCAGAGTGAAATTTATATGGCCAAGTGCATTGACCGCCGGACCGCGAAACGTCCGTGAAATTGTGATTGCCCCACGTAACAAACAGCCCCGCTAAAAGCGGAGTAACTCCCCCAAAGGCAAATGGATGCATACGGTGTCGGTTGAGTGAACATTTGACGATGAACAACCGATAAGTGTCGTGGACCCTTTACTAACAATCTTTAAAGTTGCTCTAGTCCCTTGCTCTGCCTGTGCTCTTCATATTTAATACCCGAAATTTCAATATAAATGTTTAATATAAAAGGGACAAAATACTTTTTCCAGATTTGGAGTTTTCAATCATCTGAAAATGCGCTTTTATTTTGGGTTGTTTTTGCGCCCATAAGTACAAAAAGATACACCTGAATTATTATCAGACTGCAAATAATTTGCAATATGTAAAGTTGTCAGTCCATAACTAAATGTGAGCAGATTTTTTTTTTACGATGTCTCATTCACAAGCAAATTACTTAAGCGTTGCAAGAAGAATAGCAAATTTATAAACAAAATATATTTTTCAAAGTGAAACTCAAAACATATCACAGAGAGAGCGCAACTTTAAGATTACATCTGCTCCCGGAAGCAGCTGTTCGCAATCCAAAGTTAGCAGGGCGCTGTGAAGCTGTCAAATTTACAAGCCCATGATGGAGCATCCATGTAATTCATCATCAATTGCGTGCGGCAGTTATGAGTTTCCACGTCCTCTGACAGCCAGACCTATGCAAACAACAATCCTAGTACCAGCAGGTTGTAAATTAAGAAGACAACTCGTTTTTGTCTAATCATGCACCGGATTGTTTCATTTCAGCTTGCCCATCCAAAAAAAAAAAAAAAAACACAGGCAGGCACGTCTGCCTGTCCCTGGAACATTACGCATTCATTACGACGATCCGCTCTTAGTCTCGGCCCGAGGAGATGTACGGACAAATATTTATATTTTGACTTTCGGATCTCCTGGTCGCAAGTGGCCTTCATAAATTACGGGTTGTAAATTAACCGGAGGACAAACGGCTGTCTGTTTGATTATGAGAGGGATTGTTATAAGACAGATGAAGCCTGGTTAAGCTCAAACGCTGCGAGTTAATGACCTGCTTAATTGCAAGTGGCTTTATCAGAGTGGGATGACCGCATGTTACTCAACACAGAAGATATTTACTGAGCAACGAAAAAATTACCGAAGTTACTCTACAAAGGGATGGACACTAATACGCAGCTACATCATTAGGGCCAGTTAATACTCAGCACCCGAACAAGAATGGTAATTTGTGACGTCACATCAAGAATTCCCACTACATTTTCAATTTTGGCAAATTTCGCTGCCAATGTTTTGTGATGTAAAATTGGCTACACACTCGCATAGAGTATGGACTGGCCCTTACTATTGCATTAAAAATATGGATTCAAAAGGTGTTTGTACTAATGATTCCAATTATTGTAGCACACTCGTGCCCATGTCACACTCGTTCTTAACTCTGAGGTTATGTGCCCTTTGATAAGATGTGGGCATGCTAGCTATGAGATGAAGGAGCTTTTAGGGCTATTCTCAGCACTTTCCGCCAACTCCTACCCCACAGAACCACCCATACAGATGAAGGATCCGTCAGTGCGTAATCAGCTAACTCAATGACAACGCCTCACTCAGTAACGTCAGACCAGATGCAACTGCACTACTGTCACAACTTTCACGTTCCTAATTTGCAAATTTGCAGCAGTAAATCAATTAAAGTCCACAAGAAAAAAAAAATAGCGGCTTTAGGTGTACTTACGTGTCCAGCAGGACAATGTGCACGTTGACGACATCCCGGTCTATGTGCAGAAAGTCCTTTAGAAAGTTGGAGACACTGTCGTAGGTGATATGGCCACAGACGACGATGTGTCTGGAATAGACAATGGAGGGGGGAGGGAGCACCGAATTAATAACGGAGTAAGTTCCGTCAAGAGTCTACAAAGGCAAGAACGGCAAAATCAGCATGCAAGAAGTTACAGCCGAAAAATGTGAAAACAGGCGTGCGCTTCATGTACATGTAAAGTATGCTTCAATTTCTAGGATTCTGTTTTTGGTTTTTGTGTTCCGAATGTCACAAACGTTAAAGATGGATTTCTGGTGTTGCACTCCTATAATAGGTTTCCTAATTGAGCTGCTGATTTTAGCATAGTATACAAATATTGACTGCTTCAAGTGGTGTAGTAAAACTAGCCTCTCGAGGTGATCCATGGACATTCTATTAGGAAAATAGAATGCTCCATGGATCACCGAGGGAGGCTAGTTTTACTTCACCACGAGATAAAGCATTCAATTTTTGTTTTATAACACTTCACCCACAGATTCTGCTTGGTTTTAATATTTTAAATTATTTAAATCTGAACACAGTTGAAATAAACTTCAATTTCAATACAAAATTGGTGGAAAATGTATTTCTCTCTTCCAAACTAGCCCTTCACGGAATGTTTGAACCCAACTCTGCGGCGCGCTCTCTTTGGAACAAAACGTGCTACGCGCAACGCGCACACCAGTATGCATTTGCACACAAATACCGCGCCATGTGCATAGTACTTTGGTTGCTATGGGTATAGTACTTTTGGCCGTGCACAGAAATATAGCAAAAATAGAAAGTATCATGTGACTCGCTCTCAGCCAATCAAGACACAGAATATGTGGGTGAGGCGTTATAATCTGTGTTATGAGCTGTCTAATGGTATACTGCATCAAAGCAAACAGCAACGCTATGTTACAGATAAAATACATGTCAAATTTTAAATTAGCACCATCCTGCTTACGATTTGAAAAGTAGATTATCAATCTTTGCACATTTCAATAATGAAAACATCTTTTTGTGGAAGACCAAGTAGAATGAAGAGTGTAGTAAGAGCTTTTTCTTGAATACAAAAATTAAAAAGGTAGAGGCGACATTGTGTGGACTTGGGCAAGTCCACACAGTGTTTCCCCATTTCTGGAAAACAGGTTTAGAGGCATTTTTGGGTAAGGTTTATCTGTGGCAGAATGAAGAGAAACACTAAAGGGAATCATAGAAAAAAATTTGGGTTGAAAGAGTTTTCACAGTTTGAGAAAACTGAGTTTTTTCACTGGTTTTTCTTAACTACACGGAAGCAATGGAATGTCCACACTAGGTTTGTAACGTAAACATGCGTGTGTTAACAGTATTGTTGAGCTCAATCAAAAAAAACAACTTCCACTATGCAAAATTAGTAAGATGCAAATGCACACATTATTTTTTTTCAAAATCGGTGAAATGTTGAAACAAATAAACAACAAAACACGACCAAATAGGATACAAATGAGACAGGCTATCAGGACAGAGTGAGCTAGGGTAAAACGCCATGCTTTGAAGTGAATCAGCGGCAGACCAGCGCTCAAAGGGAAGAACAGGGACCCAAGAGATTGCTTGCGACAAAGTAAAAAGGACGGATTCAGTACCTGGACGCTACTGTTAAGACCTAATGCCCCGGGCAGGGATCAAATGGAGGAATAAAGGGTCAGTCGGCAGTGAGAGAAAGGAGAGGGGGCATCAGTAGATAAAAGGACAAGGGAAAGATGACATGGAAAGAGCACAGGGGACACCGACTGTCGGGAATTGATAGATGTTGTGAGATACTCCAAGAGCCAAAATGAGACACTTTGAAAGGAAAGCTTGCAGGAAGAAAGGCTAGTGATGGATAGAGAAAGACACGTAAAAACACAAGAATGCAGAAAACTGCAAGCAGGAGGAATTAGAGAGATGATTTGTTTTTGTTTTACATGTAACTATCAATTTCGAATTTTTATTTTTTGATTTGGTTTGAGTGCCAAGGGACAAACTTGAAAGATAACGTTTTTTTAGTTGGTAAAACTAGACTATATTTCAGACAGAAATGGATGTTTTAGGTACATCCGTTTGCTCTGATACAATGAGACAGACTAGAGAGACAAAATATGTTTTACCAGAGACGAAAGACAAGCAAAAGAATGAAACACAGAAAGATAAGAAATGTCCCAATCCCCCCTCATTCCCCCCCCCCCCAAAAAAAAAGGTTTAAGGAAAGGATTTCTGAGAGGAAAAAAACTGCAAAATGGCAAATAAACTTGAGAGCCTAAAAAAACAATGGTACAATGATCATATTATTTCAATAAAAAATATGAACAAGCAAAAAGTACATGTACCTCAGTAGACAAAAAGACAAGAAACAGCCCCATCGCCCCTTCCCCCTCATTCCCCCTCCCCCCAAAAAAGCTTAAAATGGCAAATAAACTTGACAGCCTAACAAAACAATGGTATGATGATCACAGTTTTTCAATAGACAATATGAACAAGCAAAAAGTAGCTCAGTAAACATCAATTAAATACTACATCCTTAAACTGGGCCTTTATGGTGCACCTTCCAAAAAGAAAAAAGATAACACAATAAAAAAAATATGAAACCAACAGTAATGAGACGAAACAAAGACATCACAGGAAGCACACTCTGTGTCCATCTGTCCCAGATATTTTGGGCCCTTGACACGTCCCTAAGAAACCCTCTTCCTTCCCCGTGACCTACTTCTTCCCCTTGACGGGTTCATAGACACCGGAGTACTTGCTCCCCTGCCCGACGATCTCCACAATTTCTGGCAAGGCGCTGGCAAAGATGGCCTGTGGGAAATCAAAATTGATGATTGGATTAATATACGGAGGGGCTGGGAGCGCGGGAGCCAGACCGCTCTTCCACAGTGACGGAAAGGACGGGCCGAAGTTAAGAAATGCTGTATGCATCTGGGAGATGGGGTATGACGTCAAAGTAAAACCTACACGGTGTCGCTTTGATTGCTGCTGTCGTAACAACACAGAGTTTTGAGTGAGAAGCGTGACATCATATCATAGTGTCAAAATAGCTGCTGTGTTTCTACTTCTCCAGCAGGTAATTGACGAGACTGAAAGAAAACTTTTCCCACTTTTTGGCAAATCCTTTTTTTTTTAAAGAAACAGTTTTTTTAGGGAAGGAAACAGTTTTTAAAGAACCTGTTTTTCAACATGCAAAATACGCTTTCCATACTCTTAGGAGGAAATTTTATGAATTTTGAAGTTCTTGACTAAAGTAATCACTTGCTTGAGACCAAAAAATTTGTTTGAGTTGGGAGTGGTGGGAAAGGGAGAATGACAGAATTTAAAGAGCTACAGCCCTATAGCACCCAATGTGAACTGTGCACCTGATTGCTAAAATATTTATTACTTTGCTCGGAAACGGTTGAGCCTCTTTAACAAACGGTTGAGCCTCATGATTGGACGCGAAGCCCATACTTTGTCAAACCTCTTTTTTGTTGACCAATATTTTTTTTGCTATTAGCTTGCAATTCTGCTTAAGTGTTTGTATTGAATTTGGGCGAGAAAAAGTGATTAAAAGTACGGGGTCATTCAGACTTATTTCATCAGCAAGTTTTATGGCACACTTTAAGGCAGGTATCTTCAGAAAGTTTTGTGGCGAATGTATTGCACGTAGAAAGTGTGCTTACCAAGACTCCAAGAATGAAGAAGATGATGAAGATGGTTCCGCAAGTCGTCTGTGGAGTCAAGTCCCCGTAGCCCACAGTAGACATTGTCACCACTGTGATGTAGATGCACTGTCCGTATGTCAGTGGCTGGGAGTTTTGAAAGTGTAGCCAGGGGTCGCCTGAATTCTCAACCTATAAAGACAACAAACTTAATGTTCATAAGATGGAATTTTGCGTCGGGTGATGTAAATCAAATGAGGTTTTTTGCCCTTCACCGACGTAAAAACACTATATTCTCAGTGTGTTACAAATTAATTTTGTTTTTATCTGGTATTAATAGTCAAATGTGTATCAAAGGATAATTCTATGGAGTTCTACAATCATATTTCCTAAGCATTTTCGTCCTCTTACTGGAATAATTCTGCTCTGATTTTCCACATTTGCTACATGCAAATTGGGATGTTGATGGGTGTCTCTAATCTTTCATTAGTTTTCTTATGAACTTTAAAGCTACATTCCATCATTTGCAGCTATCCGAAAAGAAACTGGCGTAATTATTGATGAAAAACATACTCGGTTGAAAGATAGTAAGGGGACTTAAAACTCCCTGTGAAATTATTCTTTCTGGGAAGCTGTCATTTTGAAGTAATCAACGAAAGAAGGCCTTTCCAACGGTGCTTCTTAAGACGCACCGTAGGAAATTTAAATTAGTAGTTCGTTTTGTTATTCGGCGAAGCACACGCAAGCATTGGCACGAAGCACGCACACGCGCAGTTGCTATAATTCGTCAGATCAGTGCGCGCCATCGCGTAGCTGCAATCGGCTCAGTGAGAACGTGTCTCGGACGCTGAATTCAGGCCCAATTCAAAACATGATTCAGCAACTTTTGATTTGAAATTGAGATCCTAGAATGCTGTTTTTCTCGGAATATACAGCTGAAGCTGAGCAGAAACTTTTTCAGTACCCTTCTTTAGATTTTCAGCACTTTTGTTGCTTCAAATGAACAAAATGCACAAATTACAAATGATAGACTACATTTGTATATCTTTAAATGAGACAATATTAGTGCAATGGAGCATTTTAACGTCTGGTTAACACCAGTTACGATCCTGGTTGCCAATAATGGTTGACTGGTCAGGTCTTATCTCCATTGCTTGTCCGCAGCCTCATGCTTGTTCCCCTCACCTCCCTCCCCCTCCCCTCTCCCCTTCCCCATCCCATTCAGGCTCCAGTAGCCACTGCACGACTCACCAAGTGATAGATGCCAGCCGATGTTAGCCACGCCCCAGCCACTATGGTCAGTAAGCTGGTCAGCTTGATCCCGTTGCTTGTCCGCAGCACTCTCAGCAGCTGTAGGATCTCCGGCAGCTGCATGAGGATCATGATCCGTAAGCATCGCAAACCTGATTAGTGAGGGGAAGTATCAAAACAAATGTCAGTCAAAATCGTGTAGTTCAAAAGCAATAATGCAGTAAATTGCATATTTACTAAAACTACACTTCAGTCCTTCTGTTTTGAGGCGTGCGATCACACCCCCACGCCATCACATGCCTAAAAGCTTCCTGAGAAGTTCGAATAATCGCATGCCTGAATCCCTCAGTGCCGCACACTTTGGCATACATTTACGGCATAATTACACTTCATAATTTTTGAAAACTAAAGTACGGCGGTGAAGAGAATATGGCTTTATTGTAAACCAAGAAGAATATTTTGAAAAACAAAACCAGATTGTTCAGTCCCAGCTTGGACCCCAGAATCACACGCCTAGAAAAATCACACGCCTAGAAAAATCACACGCCTAGAAAAATCACACGCCTAGAAAAATCACACGCCTAGAAAAATCACACGCCTAGAAAAATCCAGGTGTGCGTTTTCCACACACCTGTGATTTTCAAATCAGAAGGACTGCACTTGTGTCTTGCATAAAATAAAACAACACATCTCATTTTTCTTGGGTGGGAGGAGTGTTTCGACTCCGTGTACAAGTTGGCCCTTACAGGATACAAAGGGCGAGTCGGGGTGACCACTGGAAGGGACATTCACATGATGCCTGATATTTGCGTGCTGGCGCAACTGGTTTGTGTACACTTGGAAAAAAATCAGACATGCATACTTCACGCCCTACATGTACCCATGCAAATCCAGAGTCCATACGGTCATGTCCAAAACCAGCCACATGAACTACCGGTACAGCTATGTCTATTTTCAGCAATTTCCCACGTATTGTAATTGTCAAAGACCTAGACTGTTTTGCTCAAGACAGGAGATTCAGATGCGGTCAAATTCTGGAATTTTCTCCACTGAATTAGACATCAATTTTATGTATAATTGGGTATATGCAAAATGACCAACACAACCGACCGCAACACTCTTTTTACATGTATGAATGGAACCGTCTGGTAACAGGAACTCTCAAAACAATTTGCAGAAAGACCTCCATCACACACCGACTTTAAAGAACACTTTGAGACACTTTGTATCAGTGTAGTCACCCTGGCGTAATCGGTCTTTCTCAAAGACTCAGACTCTGCAGTGCTACCCCTCTGGGTAGCTGAGATAATTCCAAGGGAGATTAAAGAATCCTAGCTGAGTCAATCGAGCCCATTTATCAAAACCGTCCAATCTTTCCACGGGCGTACAAAAAAAAAGGTTGCCCACTCTTGCCGTTCTAGCTTCCCTGGCATGCAAAGCTTCATCTTGATAACATTTATTTAAAAATTAATAAAAAGGAAATGTGAAAAATTTGAACCCAACAAAATATAAAAAGAGGGCTACAATGTTGTTGATTTCCTACAATCATAGGAGTGTGTTTGAATTTGAAACACTGGGAATTTTGAATACAAATGTTCATGTAAGGCAAACGTTCTGCAACAGAACTCTTTCTACAATATGAAATAGAACGTGTGAATGCCCTAGGTTCTCTCTATAATATGTTCTCCTTTCGTTAGAGGGGATGTAGCTAGGCCTACATGTCAGAAAAAGGTGAAATAAATCACCTTTTGTTTAATGGGAAAGTCTAAGAAGTTTCAACCGATAGCCCTTGCTACATCACAATTCAGTACTAGTGTTCTGTTACACTGTATATGTATTACATGTACATGTACATGTACGTCAACTTTCATCAGTTTTATAACGACTGGCATCTTTTGGGGACAATTATGGTTTCTCTCACATCAGAACAGTGCAAAGAGGTTATTCTATAAATTTGAGCTCGAAAGTGTGACATTTTTTTCTATCCCCGTACCTTGGCAAATCCCAAGGTACGGGGATAGAAAAAAATGTTAAAAAAAATATTTAAAAATTAAAATATTTTAAGTACGGTATCATTAAGAATGACTTCAAACTATTTTTTATTTGTTGGGTAGGTAGTTTGCTATTCGTAATCACTCTTGGAGGATGACTGCATCAAGGATTGCATCAGGGCAATTCCACGTTACATTTTCGTAACGTGAGTGACCGATTTTGTGCGTCTTATAACACATTTTTCTGGATGTCATCTTTGGTGCTTAGGTAGGTCTAGGTCTACTCTATCTACCATGGGGATGACAGTTATTAAACATTTTCAGTAAGGTAATTACAGCCCAAGGAAACTCAAAAGTACATCAAAAATGTAACGTGAGTAACTGTGGAATTGCCCATCAGAATTATATAATCATAGATGTCAGGTTTAACAGGGAGCAGACAAAAGGGGACCCCAAATTTAAAGAATGACCCAACACCACATATGATTGTGAAATATTAGTCTAACAAATTAACTCTAACAAAATTTGAAGCCAATATGCTTTCAAGATTGTATTATCCAAAATTGTCTCCAAGATGTACACAAATTTCCACTCTCTCAGAAAATCATGTCTGCCGTGATAATTTTGTTTCCTTTCAGAAATAATGCTGCTCAAAGAATTTCTGAGCCAGCATTATCAAACTGCATGAACCTAAACCAGATCTGATGCCCTTTCAAATATAACCAGGCCACTCACATTTTTGATGTGGAAATGTCCCAGTCCAAGACTCAAACCACCTGCCGAACAATAATCTAAAATACCTCGCCCAGATCCAGCACCGATCCTAACGTCCGGCAGTTTGATTAATGTTACGAGTATTTGCCAATTTTGTGGATGTGAACGTGCGTGTGCAGATGCACCACACTCTGGTCTGGCAATAACTATGATTTAGTAAGATCTTTGGGGCTTATTGGAACTCATCTATCTTACAGACACTTGCAGTATCAGGACAAGGAAATTGCAACTGGCCGAGGGACTGCTTCCTCTTCGGGCCTAGTTTCTGGAGTTGAACATTTATCAGCACAAAATCCCTCTTGGGCTTGTAAAAGTACATTCTAAATAGATACATTTTTTTTTTAGTATTCGGTGATCTATTATTTATTTATATATTTATAAATGTCGCATTGTTAAAGAAGGGAAGTTCTGTTTTCCTTCCTCCATGCCTAAAGGGACTCTATTGTTGAAATCTGTTGAACCATTTACTGTTACCCTTGAATCAAAATACATTGTGTATACTGAATATATAGTTTGCTGCGCATGCCACACAACAACAATGATTGTTCAACTGTGGGGAAAAAATCAAAACGGTTATTCAGAAAGGGTTTACCTCTTACTCTTCTGGTAACAGTTAGTCTTTTGTTGTGGTCTTGTGGTAGAAATGACCCTGACCTTGAGGTTATAATTAAGAACTGCTCATACAGAAAATGTTGTTTTGGCCAAGGACCGGTATCTACTCAAGCGAGAGCAGGTCAATGATATGATGTACGTCATATCATTTATTAGATGATTTTTTGACTGGTTACACAGGGTTCGACCTTAACCTTTTTTTTCACTAGCCAGCTGGGCTACTGAAACAGCTTCTTAACTATAGCTCGCAGGTATTTTCACCAGCCCACATGTTTTTTTCTTTCTTTAATATACATGTACATGTAGTGTCCCATAAACAACAATATGTGCACATGTAAAACGTGTATAGAGCCTGAAAGTTTACCCTGGTGGCACGCTTCAGGGACACTCAAAAAGAAAATTAACGTGTAAAAGTCAGCTAGGGTTTTGAACTTAGTTTTGGTACATTGATTTCTTAAGAAAATCACCCTCGAAATTTATGGAAAACTGAAAAATTGCATGACGTGAAAGAGAAATGTCGTGCCCAAATTTGACCTCTCACTTCCGAAAATTTCCATGTGGACTCGTGGAACTCGATCACTTGCTCCAGCATGAAAATTTATGAAAAAATGTTGTGGCAGTCATTGGGTAATATTAAACAGGAGGCTCAAATGTCTTTTGGGACGGACAATTTTTTTGAACAAACTTGCAGGATATATTTTCATTTACAAACAAATCTGAAATGACCGTTATAAGAACTGTATTAAAACGTGATCCAAATGAGCCTGAATAAATCTGGAATCTATCGGATTAGTGTGTAGGTAAATCTTCGCGTCGTTATCATTTTCATTCTCACGCAATGTGAAAACAGATGTGATCCAGCAAGGCGACCTTTGAACGAAAATTGGTCGTAAGTAAAATTCGTTTTTACCCATTTCCAACTGATTTATCATCTATTCTGAGGCAATTTGTCAGTGTTTTTAATAAACATACAATTTAGCCCTTTAAGTTTAAAACAGTTGATAAAATTATATTAAAATTGAAACAGGTTTGCTTTCTGAATTTAAATTAATGATTTATTTATTCCTGTCCTTTCATCTTTGCCGTATCCCAATCATTTTTAGACTCGCCAGCCGGGCTACTTAAGGAACACTTTGACCAGCCCGCCGCTGTTTTGACTAGCATTAGGCCAGCGGGCTACCGCTAATTTCAAACCATGGGTTACTAATAGAATGCATTCTACATGTATACAATGTACATGTACATGTACATGAACTTTGAAATAAAAAACAAAATTAACAAGTTGTTTCGTTAGATTTGTTTTAGTCAGAATTTGTTGTATGTTGCATGTATGTCATTCCTTTGTGGGACAATCTCATCTTCTGTGGCCTTTGTTTTGTGTTTTGGGGTTAATTTAATTATTTTGTTTTAGTTTCTCCTATTTTAACTCTAGTTTCCTCTTCCTATCGTAATTAATAGAAAAGTGGCTTTAGTTTAAACTTCCAAATTCCATTTCAGAAATTGGACTTTATTTTGAAATCTACAACTTAAAGAGTGATTTTAATATTAGGGGTTGGGGCAGCTTAGTTTAATATTAGTATATGTACATCCAGAATTTCTTAGGATTTTTTCTGACACCTGAAATATTCCAAACCTTAAAGAAATCCTTTTTTGTGACCAAAACATGACAAAAAGTCTTGTCTTGCTTAAAATGTATATATATTTTTTCTATTTTGTTACTTTTTTCTTTGTTTTGGTTCTTTTTTTCCTTCAAAATAACATTCATTTGTTATCAGGTTCAACAAACTGGTCTAAACTAGTCCTTACAGAGTCTTGGACGGAAGCTGTAAAGAACTGTGGGTAAACCTAATCCTATATTAGAAAGTACCCACTGATTGGTTGACTTTGTGCATGTGTTGCCCATCATCACTGCTTTGACAACCAATCACATTGTATGTCTTCTACAGCTGTCCATTTTTTGAATAATCTACTATTCGATTCATCAGAAGAACGTTTGACCGAATATTCGGATATATTCAAAACTGCCAGCTGCAACAGCGTGCTGCACCGGAAAAAAAAATTGCATGACGAGTGTGCCACTTAAAATTTGCTTGCGGCGATCGATATGTGGCACCAGAGTTTTTTACAGTATTTTATAACTTTAAAGAGCTTCGAACCGCGGAAGGATGTGAACAATAAACCACCCTCAACAAAAAAAATTACTGTAGCCAAAAAATTTGGCACCTGAAACTAAAGTGCTGTAACTTTACAATATTAACGTAACATCACAGTCGGATGAGTATGTACATAATTTGATTGTTTTTGAATATTCAAACCGGCAAAAAGTTATTCAAATATTCGGTTGATGATCAAATATTTGAGTATTCGGTATGTTCAGGACAGCCCTAATGTCTTCTCCTGACACTGCCCCAATTCGGGCGATTCACAATGCAGTGCGCCACCAAGAGTTTGCCACTGAGAGTTCATTTTTCCCAGTGCATTGTGGGAGATGGTCGACAAATTTGCAGCGCGGGACGTTTGAAATTGTTAGTTTTTCCGGTCAGTAGTTTCTGTAACGTATGATTCGAGGATCTGTTTACCCTGTTCTTTTCTTATTATCAATATGACCAGTGTTTTTTTTGGAAGGCGGCAGAACGCTATGCTCCAATCTATAACATATTAGCTCAAGTTGTTTACTGACACTCATTCAAATGGACCATGTTTTGTCGACCGTAAACCTGAAAAATGGACTCTCCATGGCAAACTCTTGGTGGCGCACTGCATAGTGAATCGCCCGAATTATCCAATGATAGTGCTTCAAAAATCACTCAGTACCACATACATACATGTACCGGTATATGCAGACTTACCTAACCATGTCCTGGAGACCCCAAGGGCAACGATTGTCGGTGGAATGGTGAAAATGTCAACCTGAGTGTTGACTGAAAACCAGAACCAGAACTTGTCGTTCCAGCTGATGAACTGTCAAATGAAAAGAAAGTATAGCCAAACAAAACTAGTTATCTAGAAAATTCCCCACACCATGACCTACATTGTAGTTAAACAGTCGTACTCGTTGGTTCGTGGGTCATTCTTTAAATGAGGGTCCAAAGTGTGACATTTTTCCCATCCCTGTTACATTATGTACCTTGCTACATGTACTTTTAGCCCATAAGCCTCGGTCCAAAATGTTGGCCACTGGTATCAAATGAGGGGAATAATCGTCATAGCGATTTTTGGCAAGGTACGACTCCAGAGTTGGAAAATATGTGATAGCATTGCAGCGGTGGCAGCTTTTTGGGTGTTATCACCCTTTTTTTCAAAATGTCCATCAAAATGCTTGTTAACACTTTAGGGGCGGTATACCTTACACATGCGCACTTTAATCATTTAGGCCCTGATTTGACACTGACCAAACACCAGGCTGATGGCCTATTTGTAATGTGCTATTTAAGTGGCATTTATATTGACTTCAAATAATTAATTATTTGTTAGGTGGATCATTTGCTTTACAATCACATAATCGCTCTTGGAGGAAGAATACTGTGGCGCAAATTACTATAGCAGCGTAGTCTAGAGAGGGCGCGCTCGCGGCTGTGGGCCCTATATAAGGCCCCGTGGCAGTTGCGAGACGTACATGTAGACTCAGCTCAGGTAGACACAGCTCAGTAGACCGAGCGTACGCCGAGATCATCTGCGGGGAAGAGACGGTAGGCAAATTAGCTCGCGCGCGCTGACGGGCGTGTGCTGGGTGGTGCGGTGAAGTCGGGCTGGCATAAGGAGGCACGGAGTCCGCGGAGGCTACTGGAGGCGGAGCGACATACAGCGATCTGCCGATTGTAACGTGACGGAGCCGGAAGGGCGCGCTCATCTACCCGCCGCCTCGAGGAAGGATTGCGACTGGAAACGGTCGAGGGCGGGAGAGTGGAGGCGCACAGGAACGCTGGAGGCGTACGGTTCTTACCCGGGATTCAGAGGCTATCCCCAGCCAGGCATTGCCGTGCTGCCCAGCACTGCCTTACCGTAGCGGCTAATGCGAGGCTACCCCTACAGAGATAATTGAGAGGCTCAGAGACAATCACTTATTAGAGGCTAACATTATAATTTAACGAGAGGTCCATCATATGACATGATTCTATGTAAATAAATCAATCAGTAATTGAGGTCATTGACTGTTGTGTACTTAATTGTCTGTCCTTGTCCATCTTTGAGGTTGAGGGGCGTGGGTGAGTGCTGCTACGCGTATAGGGCGGTATATTTCCATCCAAACGGGCCTGCATTCCCGGCTGCTGGGGTATTGATCCTAAGCTAGGTTGTCTGGGTAAAGGGACTACGGATCGGGTCACAGATATTCCCGCCACAAATGGTGTCAGAAGTGGGATTATACGCCTAGCTGCCATTTGCCCACGTTCTCATCCTTGAGGAGGCGAGGACAACAATTATTAATAGATAGGACGCCTCAAATAGATCAGACTTAATTAACTAAGACGAAGACACAAACTCATAATGACAGACCAGACTGCTAAGGAACTTCAGGAGGAGGTTGACAGTCTCCGAGTGGACCTCCAGGGAAGGGAGGATGAGCTCCAGCGTTCAATGGAGGAGAGTTCACGCCATGAGGCTACAATAGAGAAACTAATGAGTAGGATATCTCGACTAGAGGATGCTTGGAAGAGCATAGGTCAGGGGACTTCGCTGGATTCAGGTGTACACACTGGACTTGCCTCCATTTCCCAGGTGCAGGACATAGGGCAGGAGGCTACTGGAGGTAACTGGACGCCTCCGAGGAGTATCATGAAGAAGAATAAGTCTTGGATGCCACAGGCACAATCTACCGGCATTAGAGGAGACACAACGCCACCTGTGGAGGCAATCGCGGAGTTACCGAAGCCAGTGGAGGTCATAAGTGAACTAGAGAAAAGTGAGGAGCCAGCTCGTGAAATAGGAGGCGCAAGAGCCTCTAATAAGGAGACACCATGGCCTCTTAAACGAGATCAAAAAATAATCGGTGAGAAGCAGTTACAAGAGAGGCTGACTAAGAGCTCGGGTCGCCCAAGGATTGTCCCAGACCGCTTTGGAGGTAAACAACCGTGGATAGACTACAAGGAACACTTTGAGTCATGTAAAATAGCAAATAGATGGGATGACGAGGAGGCGGCGGTGTTTCTGTCGGCGAGCCTCCAGGGTCCGGCACTAAAGATACTTCTTCACCATGGGGACGGAGAGAAGAAGAGGCATTCATACAGCGAACTTCTCAAGCTTTTGGATGGGCGTTTTGGACCTGGAGAGCGCGCAGAAAATTTCCTCCTGGAGTTAAGGAATAGGAGGCAGAAGCCGAAGGAAACCATACAGGAGCTCGGCCAGGCGGTACGTGAATTGGCATCATTTTCGTACCCGGAGTTTACGGAAACCGCAAGGGACCGCCTCGCAAGAGGACACTTCTCTGATGCGATAGCTAGTCAGTCTATTCGAGAGGGGGTATTCCGGGCCAACCCTTCCACACTTGATGAGGCGATACGGGCAGCCTTAGCAACTGAAAACTTCGAGAAGATTGAGGCTCAAAGGAATGGGCCCAAGTTCGGCACTGGAAAATCTAGGGTGCTGGAGGACGCCGTGGAGGATGTCGTTCAGCATGGCGCAGAACGACAGACGGACCAAACTTTGGACGAGGGGGGTCAAACAAAGAAGAGGCGTGACACCAGGGTATACTGTTTCCACCAGAGGCGACGTGCAACCCCAGGCGACCAGTGCTATCATTGTCAAGGGTATGGACACTTTTTACGAGATTGTCCGGAAAAGAGAAATAAAACTAAGCCTCAGGGAAATGGCAATCAGCCTCTCCTAGGACCCGAGGAAGGGCTGAAACCACAGCAGGGTCAACCCTCAATCTAAAACCAACCTCAAGTAGTAATATCCCGGTAGTTGAACGGAAGGTACTTGTGCCCACAATTTCTCCCAAGAAAGGACTTTATGTTAAGGGGAAAATTCGTTCCCTTGACATTCCGCTCCTTGTGGATACCGGAACCACTGATACAGTTATTTCAGCCGAGGTGTATTACAGAATTCCAGCTGAGAGGCGGCCGAGGCTAGAGACAGATGGCTTAAAAGTGTTTCAGGCGGATGGGACACCGATAGAAACTTTGGGTGTGGCACAAATTGAGGTTCAGGTAGGAAGAACTATTTTTCCAGTACGTGCAGTTTTTGCAAAGGTTAAGGCACAAGGAATTCTGGGAATGGACTTTCTCATACCAACGGGAGGAATGTTGGACTTTAAGGCCTTGGAGCTTGTGTTGCATGGAGAACACATCAAATGTACAAGCCGATGGGGAACAGCGTTATGCGCGAGGATTGTGGTAGCCAGAACTACTGTCATACCGCCGGGACATGAAACCATTATACCAGGGAGGATGGATAAGTCACTTGATTTGTGTCATGTTGGTGTGATAGAGCCAGTCGAAGGAGGCGGCGTGGTAGCGGATAAGGGTCTTATAGTTGCGAGGTCACTGGTGAACATGGATGGAGATACATTACCGGTGCGGGTATTGAACCCAGGGAGGCAGAAGTGCGTTTTGCGCTGTGGGGTTACTGCCGCATGCCTCACACCAGTGGATGAAGAGGATGTCGATGAGGTGCGACAGGAGGCTATGGAAAAAGGATCGGAAGATGTTCATGTCCCCGGACACCTTCAGGACCTCTGGAAGCGAAGCGTTGAGGGGCTAGATACGCACTATCATTACGCCGTTGCTGGGTTGCTGTCGGAGTTCTCGGATGTATTTTCCAGAGGAGACCACGACATAGGGAGGACTGACAGGGTGAAACACACCATAGACACCGGAAGTGCCAGACCTGTTAGGGAAAGACCGAGGCGACAACCCCTGTGTAAGCAAAAGGAGATCGACTCGCAAGTGGATGACTTGTTAAAGCGGGGGATTATAGAGCCATCCGACAGCCCGTGGGCGTCCAATGTAGTTCTCGTTCGGAAAAAGGACGGAACGCAGAGGTTTTGTGTGGATTACAGAGGGCTCAATGAAAGGACGATCAAGGACGCTTACCCCGTCCCACGAATCGATGACACCCTTGACGCACTAGCGGGGGCAAGATGGTTTTCAACCCTAGATCTTGCCTCCGGCTATTGGCAAGTCGAACTTGATGAAGAGGCTCAGAAGAAGTCTGCCTTTGTTGTGCGCGGGGGATTGTACAGCTGGAGGGTTATGCCCTTCGGTCTGTGCAATGCCCCCGCCACATTCGAGAGGCTCATGGAGAGGATAATGCGTGGCCTCCAGTGGGAAACCTTGCTCGTCTATTTAGACGATGTTATTGTATATGGACGAACCATCATGGAGGAAATCAACCGTTTGAGGGAGGTTCTGCAGAGGTTACGTGGGGCTGGACTTAAATTAAAGCCAGGGAAATGCCACCTCTTCCGACAGCAGGTTAAGTATCTGGGACATGTGGTGTCCCCGGAGGGAGTATCTACCGATCCAGACAAGCTGGAGGCGATAAGATCTTGGCCAACTCCGACTGACGTCCGAGGACTGAGGAGTTTTCTTGGGTTGGCCTCCTATTATAGAAGATTCATCAGAGGTTTTGCTGATGTGGCTCGCCCGCTCCATAGGCTAACTGAGAAAGCACGTGTCTTCCACTGGAGTGACGAATGCCAGGAGGCGTTCCAAACCTTGAAGACTCACCTGCAAGAGGCGCCAATACTGGCATACCCAGAACCCGAGGGCAAGTTCTTGTTGGATACAGATGCTAGCGGAGTCGGCATCGGAGCTGTTTTGTCGCAAGTGCAAAATGGAGAGGAGCGCGTTATAGCCTACGCGAGCCGTACACTCTCCAAGCCTGAGAGGAATTATTGCGTGACGCACAGAGAGCTCCTTGCAATTATTGTCTATCTTAAACACTTCAAGCAGTACCTATACGGACAAGAGATAACTGTACGAACGGACCATGCGGCATTAAAGTGGTTAGTCACTTTTAAG